TCTCTCTCTCTCTCTCTCTCTCTCTCTCTCTCTCTCTCTCCTTTTTTTCTATTTTCTTTTTTGGTACTGGGAATCAAACTGAGGGGCCCATGCTAACCAGGTAGGTGCTGTGCCACTGAATCATATCCTTGACCCTTACTACTGTATTTTCAGAGCTGTCCTTTATTTCTGTCCCTTGGTGCCCCTAGAACCTGGCCCTTGGGTTCTTTGTCTGCCTCTACTTGAGTGTGGCCATCATGAGCACTAGCAGGAGCTTAGAGCAACAGCAGGATATTTGTCCCTGAGACTTCAGCAACAGCTATGATCCCTTTTAATACAGTTCTTGCCAGGGGACCCATCCACCAAACACAGGCCTAGCTTTCTTCAGGTTCCTGTGCTAGGCATTACTGCCACCAGTGCTAGGGTTTAAGTGCTTAGCAAATGTTTCCTTTGTGAAAGTCTCTTCATCTGAGTCAGCTGATGTCATCTGATGATTAGATCCTATCCTAATAGTCTATAACCTGGCTGACTTCCCAGTCATAACAAGTTTTTTTCAGGAAGTAAATGCCATACTCTCAGCATTATTGCTGGTCTAGGTACCCTCAGGGCCTCTGAACTGAGCTACACCCACAACTGTTTTTCTAAGTTTTTATGTTTTGAGACAAGATCTCCCTAAGTCACTTAGTTGTCTAGGCTGGGCTTAAACTTGTAGTCTTCTTGGCTCAACCTCCCAGCATACTGCAATTTTTAGGTATAAACCACTGCACATGGCTTAGTTAGCTCTTCCTGACTGTGCCTTATATGGAGGCCATCTTTACATAGATTGGCAATCTGAAAGATGGCAAAACAATGGGTTAAAGGCCTGGGCCTCACGGCCTTGTGAAAACTAACTGGTGATCCTTCCTGATGGATTTGGTTAGCTCATTCCCTTCCTCTGGATAATCCTGCACCTTCTCTCATGTACAAGTTTGGTTTCCAATAAGTAGCTTGATACCAAACACTGTCTCAGTCTTTGTTTCCTAGAACCCAGCCTACAATGATGATAAGTTGAAAAGAATTTACAGAAGGCAGTAAAAGCTCAGTGGTCCAGTGCATACATCAGAGCAAAGGTGAGCTTGCAGTGTCTACATGCCTGATAGAAAGATGATTTTGCACACAAGTTTGAGAAGAAAATAGCTCTGGAATACTATGCATGTTCTCCAGGATTATGAGACTGTGTATACCAAGAAACCTGAAAGATATTACTCCAGGCGAAATGACCTTGACTTCTCTGTTGGAGTGATCTGAGAAATGAACATTCTTTCTGAATTTGACCCATGGGGGGCACACTTCATTAATAGTCTTCTTGTCCCACACCTACATGGGGTTTAAATTCAATAGTTTCCTTAAAAATACAAAGAATTTCTCCTTCTCTTACTCTCTGGCAGGAAGACAGGCCCTTCTACTCCTCTGCTATTGGAAACTTGATGTTAGACTTCATGCCTTTCTCATTTCCATGAGAAACCTTTCCATGTGGGTGGCTGGTTCTTGAGTGTAAATATGAGTCTCAATTCCATCCTGCTGTGACCTCTGAGGCAATAGGAAGCACTAATTAAAATTACCCTTCGGAGTGGATAGATACAGAGAGGTGTTGTCAGATTGCTGGCTAGAGACATTATAAACCCTATCATAACCCTCAATCCAAGTAGTGAGCAGAGACAATTCTATAGCCAAGGACACTTGTATGCCAAATGATCAATAAGGTCCACCCAGATTGAGGTAATTCCTACTTCCAGACGCATCTAAGTTTCACTTATGATGGAGTTGACTCTCCCAAGCAACATCCTTGCTTCCTCTTGTCCATCTCAAGCCAGAAATCTAACCACTTCCATGATGTTTGTACCAGCATGGCCTTTCTTCCCACGCCCTAATAGCTTGCTGGTCCTGCACATGTGGAGTCCCTTCAATATCTCTAGGTCATTTTTTCTGCCACAGCTAGTCACAACTATAGATCCCTGGCTTATAATCAGCACTCAAAACTCATTTCTTTCCTAAATAACTTAAATACGGTGATAGCTCCTGGCCAAGGGTCACCACGGGAGTTGTAAGGACAAATTGCTTTCAGTATTTCCCAAGTCATGTTTAAGGACTTCATACCACCCAACTTTTGCCCAAGCCCACCTAGCTCAGACACCCATCTTCCAACTATTAAGGTCTGAAAAGCATTTCCATTTTCAAAATTTTATTGAGTTGTTGGAGAAATGGCCAATATACATTTCTCATTTTGTTACATCTGGCATTTCACCCACACTTGATAGGTGATAGGCTCTTCTCTGGCTTTGTACTTTAATTTCAGGTCTCCTTAGCAGTCCCCCTTCTGTTGTTTTTGTTCCTGCCTGGTGATGTTTGAAGTCTACCAGGGCAGTGCCTGCTGGCTGGTCAAATGTGGGAGCGATAAGTACGATTGGCTGTGGAGAAAGGACAGGTTAGCGCTCATTAGAACATACCTCAGTACCCTTCTTGCCCTAATGGGAATTTAGTTATTGGAAATAGTCTCAGGCTGAGATTTCAGGATGGTCCCAGGAGAGAGGGCTGGGGAAGAAATATGTCCCTAGGGCCCATGGCTCTCTCACTCTCCCACTCACCATCATCACCCCGTTTCCTACTCTTCAGACTGCCTTTCCGGTATTTTCTTTTGATGCCACCTCTCTTGACACCTTTGTGTGGAGTTCTGTTCTTGCCCCTCCTTATGCCATGACTCTTCAATTTGCGGCTAGTCGACATTGCCATTTCTGCCAAGACAGGGGCCTTGTGCAAGGCCTGGAGGTTGGGAGTCTGGGTATTTAAAGCCTTAGGCATTATGACTGCAAAGGGGTGTGACTGCCACAGATAGGTTGGGGGGGTTGTTTCTTTTGTGATGTCACTAGCCTTTGCTGAACCTCAGTCAGATTGGCCAAATGAGGTGGTCTCTGGTGCAGCTCGAGGCTGGGCTTTCTGAAGTCTTTATAGGTTAAGTAAAAGTTTCCATATAACTATTACTGAGTAAACCCTAGTGCACCAAGGGAGTATAAGAAATCATTTAAAATATATAGGACTTTTAAAAGTCATTGTGTACATGTGGATGTATGTTTGTCTCTAAGAACATCTAAAGATAACAAAGGTACTATATTTCTATAAGCATGACTCTAGGGAATCCAATTTGGGGGATCAGAATATATTTTCTTTCTCTTTCATCTAACTCAAGCTTTCTCAAGGCAGATATCCTTGACACCATAGGCTGGGCAAGTTTTTGTGGGTTGTCCTATTCACTGTAGGATGTTTGATATTATCCGTGACCTCTACCCAGTGATGCCAATAGAAACCTCACAAGACACAACCAAGAAGTTTTCCAAATACTTCCCACCTATCCTTTTGGGATCCTGGAGGAGGGTGGGGCACAAAGTAACCCTGCTTGACAACCATAGTCCTGACAAGTTTGAAAAGTTTAGCCATATTTATTATTCATAAAGAATATGCTATGCACTTAAGTGTTAGGAAAGTATGGTGGATACAAATACAGATCCTGTGTACATGGAACTTTCTCCCAAGAGGGCAGAAAGTCAATCAGGCATCAATACAGATGTGTAGTTTATCTCTTAGGTGGTTATTCTGGCTCCAATGAGCAGAGGCAGAGGGAACTCCCCAATGTGATTTTGGATGAGATTAGAGAGAAGCAGAAGCCAATCTCAAGTGTATCATCAGGAAGCCTAAAAAGTGTTGAGGATGCTCTGATGAGATTCAAGGCCACTGGGTGGCTGAGGGATTGAATGGAGGAGCTAAGCGAATAAAGGGACAGGCTATGGCTGTAGAAGTGGTTTCAGAGAGATTTGATAGCAGCTTAGACATGCACTGGGGAGGGTGATGATTGAGATGTAGAGAGGTACACAGGAGACAAAGTCTTGGTGACAGATTGGACATAGGAGGTGCTAGCAGTTGGTGTCAAAGCTGTGGCTTTTGTTTCTGTGTAATGCAGCTCTCTGGACACCTGTGCCCCTCACAGGGGTAAAGGTCAGGCACTGGGAGTGTGATGGCTGGGCATTTGGTTTAAGACATAGTACTGTGTTCAAAGAATTTTATGGTTTCCAGCTAGAAACATGGAGTGATTATGAATATGGGGCCTATGGGCCTGAGGGCTTCAGTAACTTACTCTTGTGTGACTCATACTAAACTCTTTGAAACAACTTTCAATAGGACTTAAGAACTATTTTTTGTCATTTTCTCAACTGCTATTTTCTTTCTTTCTTTCTTTCTTTCTTTCTTTCTTTCTTTCTTTCTTTCTTTCTTTCTTTCTTCCTTCCTTCCTTCCTTCCTTCCTTCCTTCCTTCTTTCTTTCTTTCTTTCTTTCTTTCTTTCTTTCTTTCTTTCT